ATGTGTGTGTGTGAGTATGTGTGAGTATATATATAAATACACACACACACACACACACACACATATATATATATATATATATATATAAGTCTGAATACATGTACTAATTGTCTTATATACAAGATAGTGCTCACTTACAAGAGTATAGTAATGCCTTTTAGTATCTCTATACATCATACCCGTGTCTGTGAATTGATTTTCTTTACCTTATATGAATTTGGCTAACAATTCTTATCCATGAACACGCCTGTCTGCATTAGTTTAAATAATTTTAAACGAAGTTTTCACGACGGAAGGCACCTCATTATTAAACAGAATCTTTCACTTTTCGCACAAACAGTAGTATATGCGTGTCCGTACTTGGTTTAGGAAGCTTTCAACGCAGGCGCTCGGTTTTTGTCCGTATACACAAAATTGTTATTTATTTCAATTGCTATACAATTCAATCGTTTACAGACCTTGCTACTTACTTGCATAGACATTGTACTTGTATACAGAGGATAAATCTTTCTCCTTCTATGCATAGACATTGTATTTGTATATCAATGACAGAACTTGCTACTTATGTGTCTCTATACACTGTACTTGTTGATATTTACATGAAATTTTCACGTACATACACCTCACAGGCTCCCTGTGCGCAGAACTCACTGCATCTGCATTTATTTACTTTTGTAGGCTGACCATTCTATATTTAGAATTGAAAACCCAACAGGGTTAAAAACGAAATATTTTTATGGAGCCTCGGGCCCTCGGGCCCTCGGCCCAGCAATCCTGCACTGTGAAATCAACATGTTGTGTGTGAGTGTGACTGTGAGTGTGTGAGGCTGCGAGCTTTCGTGTGCCATTTGGCCAGCAGAAGTGAATACAATTTTATTTGAAAGTCTGTCTCTACTAGATCCTGTACAGTATACAGAGACGTAAACTAACCACTTCTTGTATATATACAATTGCCAACAAACTACACACATACATATACGTGTATGTTAAGCACATACTTAGCAACGTAACCATGACGGAACCGACCACTTCAGCAGACGCCAAACCAGCCCCGCGCGTACGTGAACGGAAGAAGAAGACTTTTTCCGATGCACCCCCACCTACAGCAGCAGCAGTGGTGCCGTTAACACCTGCACAGTTACAACCACAGGAAAATAACATGGGGGTAGGCATGGGTGCCGGGGTGACTGCACCACAGTCTGTAGCCAATTCAGCTGTGTATAACGGTATGATGCCTGGAATGGTGCCCAGTATGACTCCTGGTATGATGCCAATTGGGCCTATGGGGACGATCATGCCGATAGCTCCTCCTGGATCGGTATGCGCGCATGTTTGTATCTATATATTGGTCAGCTGTGTTACTTGTATATAGTTGCATGTAGTTCTTCTCACTCCCCGTTTGGAAACAATTGTGTTCACACCTGCATATCACTATTGTCAGTTGACGCTAGCTCTATCTGCGTAAGCAATAGTACATGCGCAACCAGACACAAATTGCAGTCCATACATATATATATATATATATATATATATATATATTATATTACAAATACAATTACACAAACAAATAATTATATATATATATATATATATGTGTGTGCATAGGTATAGAGTACAGGTATAGAGCATAGGTATAGAGATAGGTATATGTATATATGCATATGTATATGTATATGTAAATATGTA